GGTATCCATTTATCTCTGCACTCGACAGAGATGTAGAGCGGTTTGTTATGGTTCGCACCCTCGGGTGGCAGCTCTTTGTCAGAAAAACTCAATGCTGGGGAACTTCCTCCCGAAAAGACTAAGCCCACCAGCTGTTCGGGCGTGGTATCTATGGAAAGTTTGGCCTTATCCATGGCTGACAGGACAGCCTGCCTATGTACTCGAGAAGCCATAAGCAGTCCCCAGATGGAGATGTCTGCTTGTATCTTTTTCAATTGTCTCAATACGGCCTCATCTTCGAGTTGCTTCTCCTTTTGTTTCTCTGCTTCATTATCTTTCCCAGACGCCTCCGGCTGATCTAGGTGGATAATATGTATCTATATCTCCAAAGGCTCTGATTTTGCTTCTGTTTTTCTAACCTAGAACCAAGAGGAAAGCCTCTCTCTTATAGGACTCCCTCTTGCAAAGCTTATTCAACAAGCTTGGCTAGAGGGAAATCCCTCCATACACGTGTATGGAGGGGAAAGGAGTTGGTGCCAGCTATCACAGCTGGCACAAAATATCTCCATAAAGTGGATGAACAGTGGTCGGCTGCCCAAAAATGCTATTCCGACAAAAAGCAGTGCCGACCGGCAACCAATTATGCCGACCGGCAATAAAGTGTGCCGACCGGCAAACAAAAGTGCCGATGGAAGAAAAGACCAGCCGGTGGCCTCCAGCCACTGCCGGTGGTGTATGGGGATGTCTCACAAGGCATTCCCTGTCCCTCTAAGGCAAAACAAAAGTGTTTGGTGCAAAACAAGACACTAAACAATCGAGTTCGGGGATCCTGAGGCAAGGCGCGCGAGCCGAGACCTCCGGGAACTCCAAATGAACACAATCATGGATAATCACCGAGTGTTCAAACGGTGACGTCCAAGTCTTGAGGACGGTCAAAAATGGGGTGTCTACACTCTCTATTATAGATTGATCATGGGAAGTGGTTGGCAATGAATCTTAAACCGTTTACAACACTAACAAGTATGAAACGACACAAGACTCAAGGGTTCAATTAACATCCGATTGAACCCTAAACAAGTTATTATCTTGCACCATTTTTTGCCTCAATTTATTATCTCATTTTAATTACCAACCATTCTTTAATTCATTAAGTCCAAAAGTGATCATTAAATCCTCTAATAGAAAGAAGCATCAAACCAAAATTTGTTTTGGGCATGAGAGAGACATCATGTTGTTAGTAATGAACCCCCTATGGGATTAAACCATTAAGCACAACACCTCAATCTCATGCTTAAACAAACATTCGGCTTGAAACCACTTTCAAAGCAAAGAAAAAGCCAAGAAAGGAGGGAGGTTGCAGAAGTGATTAGAGGTGATCATAAGTAAGGAAAGCAAGAAAATAAGCACTATCAACTCAAATAAGATGGTATCTAATGCCTAAAACACCAAACCTATGAGGACAACTACACTACAAGCATGCAAAACAAAACATAACTGAAGTAAACAATTAAAAATAGTCTTAAAACAGCCCTAATACAATCAAGATAAGTGTTGGAATTAAGACAAAAAAAAAAAAAAAGCTAAAAAAGTAAGCTACAACATAGAGTTATGTAAGCTAGTAAACAAAGCATAAGGAGGGGAGGCTATCCCCTCCATTTCTGGACATCAAAACATGGTTTTAGCCACTGAAAAAACTCTGAAAATCAGTATTTAAAAGCTCAAAAAAAGATAGTGTAAAGGTGGAAAACACAAGGGTAAAGGCTAGAGAAGCAAGTTGGAAAGAAAGGTGAACCACCTCTCCACCCTTATTGGTCTTAATCCACAAGTTTTAGCCCAAAATTAGTAGAAAAATAGTAGGAAACAATGCAAATAAAGCAAAGAGATAAGCCAAGCCTTATACCTCTTGAAGAGGAGAACACTTCTAAGCAACAAATCAACACATACACACCCTCAAGAGCTTAAAGTAGGCTCAAAAGTACCTCGGCTCAAAGACCACAAGGTTTGGTTAAATGTGTATAGGCAAAGGTTTAAGAACTAGCAAGAGAGAGAGAATTGTAAAGAGAGAAAATAATTTGCTCCAATTTTTATAACCCTCAAAAATGAAAGAAGAGGTCCTCTATATATAAAAAAACATCACACTCCCTCAAAAATATCTATTCATACACATGTAGGTAGATGCAAACACCTGTACAAACAGCTGGCACAACTTGGCGCAATTGGCAGAAAATATCTAAAAAATACACAAGTAGCCGGCAAGCCACAAATTTTGGCCGGTAGGCCACACACTTGGTCGGTAGGGCACAAAGGTGGCCGGCAGCCAAAAGAAGTGGCCGACAGCCCACAAAATGGACCTGTAGGTCACTACAAGAAATTGCACTTTTGGCAACTACTTTTGGTGACGACGTCAATTTTTCATAGCCAAAAGTACATTTTTGGCGACACAGTGATGAATTTCGTTGGTAAAAGTATACCTTTACCGACGCAATTTACTATCGTCGCTAAAAAAGCATAACATTCTTAAAGCACCAAAATTATTTGTTGGCGACAAAATTTCAAAAGTTTTAGCTGCGAGGCTTATTTTTTACCAACACAATGAGCGTTGCTATTAGTGTGCTTACTTTTGGCAACGACAAGTTGGCATGGGCAAAGAGTTAAACATTTAGCGACGATAACACTATTCGTCGGTAAAAGTTTTACTAGTGAAACATGTGATTTATTGATTTGTGTTTTTATTATAACTTTTGAAAGAGTTTTAAATGTTCTAGTTATTGAATTGTAAAATTAAAGTGATCATTGAATCATATCACAAAATGAACCCATCAAGGCCAAACATACTCTTAAGTTGATATGGCTAATTTGAGTTAATTTAAACTTTTCTAAAAAATGTGGTTAGATTATCAATTTTAATATGTTTGGTTTTATTTTTAGATTCTTTTCATTGTGGTTTTCTGTTTGGTTTTATTTTCATAAACCAGTTTAATTTTTTTCCCCTAAAAAACTATAAAAAATTTAAAAAAAAATTATTATTTTTATATAATTTCATCTGTTAGGTCATACACTACAATAAAATTGATTTTTTACGAAATCACATGGACGGCCTACAAGACACTGATAGTGGGTTCTAATCATAAGTAACATAAAAGAAACAGAGGAAGAAGAAAGACAATGAATTAGTTGGAAGGGGAAAGGGTTCTTCAAACCCTTGTTCTTCAAAGTTCTACTATCAATTGAATCGGTGGAGATTGAGAGGCAAACATGGTAGTCTTGAAGCCCTTTGGAGGTTCTTCAAAGCCATACGCTATAACGCCCTCAAAATAATAACATTAAACCCATCAATATAAACATACATTTATATACAAAAGATCCACATTCTTCAATTCATCAGAGTACTTCATTACAAAAGTATTACATGTTAACAACAAAAGCACATGCCCAACGGGCTTACAACTTTCCAAGTTAACACTTGGTTACAAAAGAGAGTACTAACTCAATTACACATTTAGCCCTTGGCTTGAATTTACATGTAATACATCAAAGGGAAATAAGACAACAAAAGTCTGTTCGCCTCTAGCCTCCCAAGCTATGTCCTTGGAGGTGGCATGCTATCTGTACCTGAAAATGATGTTCCCATATAGAGTGAGCCACATCCGAGCAGAGCTATACTAAACCAACCATGACCAATGACTAAAAGATTAGCAATTGATAGATGGCCAATACTGATACATCCACATATATCACATCACAATTTCATAACATACAAGTCTGAGTCACTTTTCATTCTCCATCTTTATTTAATAGGTAAGCATATAAGCTGTATCCACACTTCACTAGACAAGCATATGAGCTGTATCCATACTTCTCAAAGATAAGCCTATGAGCTGTATCTTCACTTCTCTAGACAAGCATATGAGCTGTATCTACGGAGTTCATCCCCCATCTCCTCCCAACACTATCCGGTTTAGAGGTTCATCCCCCATCTTCCCCTAAACCGCGGAGTACATCCCCCATCTCCTCCTCTACACACAATGCATATAAACACAAAGGTTCTATACACAACCAATCAACACATAAATTAATGTATTCTATCCACCGTCATGCTCTGTGACGCATTCAATAGATTAGTTTTAGTTTGCCTAATCATCATGCATTGTCTACAACAATCAAGACTATCCTCCAGCGATAGCCCAAAGCAGTTATTTCTAAACAGAAAACAAATGCACAAAATGGATATTAAATCAACATTTCAATTTGGTGAGCGATAAATGATCCAACTACACCCTCTAATCCCTTCCCTTTCTAATTTCCACAATCTCAATTCAATCCCTCATTTCCAACAATTAATTATACAAATTACTCAATCAATGTAATTAGGACATTTTCCATAACTTACATTTCAACCCCTACGGTTTCATTGTCATCAATGTTTCAACATTAATTTCATTCCTTCATGCCAAACATGCATTTAGGTTTTTACATAATCAAAAACCCCAACTTTTGTAAAATTACACAAAGGCCCAAACTCTCTCAAAATTACCCAACAACCCCCAACATATCAAAATGCTAAAATTTAAAGACAAAGCTCATAAAGAGGAGTAGGATATCCCTACCTCGAAGTTAGAGCTCGGATGGGGAAGAGACCAAAATCAAAGTGTTCCAAAAGCCAAGATTTTCGGATCAAAACGACGCCCTCAACGATCAACACAACTTTTACAAAGGCCGAAGAGAAGGAGGACACTCTAACTAGATCAAACCCTAGAGAGAAGGGAGTTTCTAGAGAGAGGGGCTCTCAAAAATGGGTTTTAGAAAAAGTAGGAGAGAGAAAGAAAAGTAAAAAGTGATTTAAAATCACCCAGCGGATAACTCATATACGCATGACCCGCTCGAGCGTAGAATAGAGCGCTCGAGCGTAAAGCACAAACATCTGGTCCCGCTCAAGCGCATAGATAACCGCTCGAACGCCAAGAAACAAAAGCAAAACACACCCGCTCGAGCGTGAAAACCAGTCTGCTCGAGCGCAGATTTTCATCTCCCAGAACTTTACAGGAAAAGGACTACCCGCTCGAGCGCCAATAATCCCGCTCGAGGGCGACCCGCTCGAGCGCAAGAAACCTGCTCGAGCGTAGAAAACACACCTGCAGAAGTTTTGCAGGGCCACGAAATACTGGAAGTGTGTAAACCCCGCTCGAGCGCAAAAGGACCTGCTCAAGCAGACAACCGAAAACCAAACTCTGCTCGAGCGCAGAATGACCCGCTCAAGTGTAACACCAAAAACCTGGATAACTAGATTTGAGACTAAGGTTCAACCAACCTGCACTCCACCTGCCCAAAACATCCTAAAACTCACACTGGTGGAATCAAAGGATAACAACAAGGTACACAACTACCAATTTCACGGAATCGAGTCCGGAATACAATAGAACAGTGGAGGGACAACCGGGATCGCTATATACGTTGTGTTGACCTACACAAAAGAGAGAGAGGATATTGCTATGAGAGGCAAATGGTACACTCATCTTTTCAGCGGCAAGACTAATTTGACGGTAAGGCACTCATCTCATCTCTCTTCTCTTCCTTGTTCCTAAAACCCTTACTTCGGCTCTCTCTCACTCTCGCTCTCGGTGTAGTTGGCGGTGTGATTGGTGTGGCTGTGGGTAATTTCACTCTACCTAAAACCCTAATCCAACAAAGAAAGAGAAAAGAATTTTAAGAACAATCAGAAAATTTGAAGGTATTCCTCTCTCAATCACTACAACAAAACTGATTTTTTACAGCACCACATCAACGGCATACAATAAATGTACGCCGTAGTTTCTCACTTTTACGACTTGCTTTGTTTGCATGTCGTAAATACTTTTCCAACCACGACGTGTCTATTACGTAGGCCGTGAATGGTAATAAAGATGATTTTTTTATGGCTTGCAATGCACGCCGTAAATAATAAAACTTTCTACAACATGCATATGGCATGCTGTTGATACATTAATTACATATGATGCACATACGCCAGCCGTGACACAATGCTCGCCGTTGAAAGTATTGCACTTTTTACGACGCACACATTGCCTACCGTTAAAAGTATTACTTTTTTACGAAGCACAATGCATGTCGTGAATTATATGATAAAATAAAAAATGCACCAAAATGAAATTTGGGGCGCCAATCACCAAAAAAAAAAAAAACAAAATATTAGAATTTTTTTCCCACATTTTGTCCATCTGTTTTCTTCCCCCTGCCTCTCCCTCCCTCCCTCTCTCTCTCTCTCTCTCAAAACACACGCACAAGGCATGCTGTCAATCTATCAAAATGCACAATCCAAGCATTTGGCTTCTAATCAAAATGAACCTAGAAGGTTTCATTAAAAGGGAGAAGGGTTCGAAGGGAGCTCATCTCTCTGAATTGTCTCATGAAGAAGGGTTACCTGTACACACTGCTTTGTTGATTTTTATTCAAGTGATTACTCATTCTTTGTTTGATTTTGATTTCGATTTCGATTTCGATCATCTCATTGATTTCGATTCAATTCTCTGGTGCAGATTCTCTCTCGTTTTATGGTGAACTGTTACCGCTTCTCTTTCACTCACTCTCTGACTCTCTCTCTCTCTCTATATGAAGTTAGGGTTTCGAAACCACCACAGTCAAGAGGTGTTGATTGAACGAAGGTAGATTTTTCTGTTTCTAGCCAAACTCTGTTCAGATTTTTCTATCACCATTTGTTCTGTTTGATGTATATGTTTAGTGATTTGGAGACTTCAATTGAAAAATAAAAATAAAAATTTTGAGAAGTTAAAGTTTTAAATTGAGAATTTTGGGTTTTTATTTGGGGGGTTTTGATTGAAAAATTAAGGTTTCGTTGTCATTGCCAATTTTTCAGGTAATTTTGATTTTTACTTCTAATGGTTCCTATTTTACTTTCACCATTCTCTCTTTATTCAAGATTTGTGCTAGGTTTTTGCTGGAAAGAAAATTCGTATGAGGTGATTCTCTTCCTTGTCTTTGTGTGACGTTTGCATATGTTTGTATGTATCTAAATATTAACATATACCAAAATCGTGACTCTCCATATCAAGATGATTTGTGTTATGTGTACGATGATTACTTCTCTGTTTCTCTTTGTTGTTTTTGGCTGGGTATGTTTGTGAATCTATGTTTTCTTAGGTATCTCTATTTTATTTCTACTGTCTAGCAAAGAAGAAAATTATATATATGTTATTTATGCCTCCTAGGTGCTTGATAAAATGCCACTAAGAATGGCTGGCTCTTCCTATGCTTTTATATTGTTTTCTTGTGGGTGTTTTTTTAATACATATCTATCTATATCTCTATACTATTATTACAAGTGAACACCTCACTTAATTTCTATGAATTCCTTTCTCTCCTTGCGTCAGTGTCAATTACTCTATGCAAAAGGGAAAAAATAGTAGTTATACGAAGGGCTATGAATTGATGGGGTTTAGAGCTATGAATTGTACCTTTCTTTTAGTGCTTTTTGTGTGTGGTCTAGGGGTAGTTGACCTGTGGGAGTGGAATTAATGGGCCATTTAGACTTAAGATGTGATAGCATCAATTATTCATGTATGGCTGGCTTCAGCTCTGTTTTGTTTCTCCTTGAGTAACATGGACTTCTTTATTTCATAAATAGCAAAAAACAAAATGAATAGTTATTAAATTAGATGCCATTATCTGAATGACTCATAATTTTGAAATGGAAAGATGAAAACATTATTAAAAAATCTAAATAGTTGTACATAACTGATAATGTTTCTACCTTCATTTTCTATGCTAGTGAAATGGGCCATTTGGCCTCCACAGGATACTCACTATCAATGGGCAGGTGCAATCCTATGGGGGTGCCATCCTATGGATCTTGTATATATATATATATATATAAGAAAATGGCTATATTTGAATCTTATCATGTTATATATGAGAAATCACCAAGGAGATGAAAATTTTGGTGAAATAAAAATGTGAATAAATCACAAAATATAATGCTTATTCAGCAAACATAGGCTTGATATGTTCTGTTTTGTGGATTTGCAGAGTTCTTGCCCAAGTTGCATACTTTGGTTCTCACTAACAATCAACAAACGAATTTGGTTGAGATTGATCCTCTTGCATCACTCCCTAAGCTGTAGTTTCTTAGTCTTCTTGATAATAATATCACAAAGAAGCCAAATTACCACTTATATGTCATCCATAAGCTGAAATCATTGTGCTTGCTAGACTGTCAGTATGTTGTTGTCATTTACTTGTTAGTTTTGATTAACTTTCTTAGGCATGTTAAGGCATAATTTTTTGAAACCAAGCCTCTGTGTGTTATGTGACATGATTGACTTTCAACTGTAACAATGTTCCTATTCTTGAATTTTGTAAATGAGAAATTGTTATCCTTCTGCCTTTTCAAAAAGCATTGGGTTGAAGGTTTGGAGCCTAACCTTAGGGGGGGCGGAAAGGAGAAAAAGTGAAAGCAGGTGCAGAAGTTTTGCATATCATGTTATTTTTTGGTTAAATGCTCCTTGACTTCAGTGGCTTCTGTTAAAAATACACATCGATAGGAATATGCTAATATCTAATTTGTTGTATATGAATTTAAGTCTAAAATTTTTCTTTTTTCTCCCTCATAGAAATGTTATTACCTACAAACTAATTACTTTATATTTTCTAATATTTATTGGAATTTTTCTTCTAAAAGATTTTGATTTACATGCTGTTTTACCTAACTGATACTAAATTGACATGCTATTTTGGAGTGTGGCCTTGAGGTTGGTGATATTGTTGTCTATTGCTGTGGATTGGCCTCGAGTTCTCTGGGCTTATAAGGAGGTTGCCCTGTTGCTGGGTGGGCTCTGAGTTATCACTTTTAGTTGCTGCTAAATGGAGCAAGGATCATGACATGGCAGCAGGTTCAATATTGCATTAGGAATGGGAGCTGAGCTATGCATATGTCAGTTTGTTTAATTAGATGTATTCTTTATATGGAAGCAGTGTTCACTGGAATCTGTGTCAATGGCTGAGGGTGGTCTGAGCATGGTTGCTGCTGTGATGGTCTCTGGTGTGCTATGTTGTTGGTAAGTTTGCTACTGTTTTTTGGGTGTTTTAATTCTTGGCTGCTCAGCTATGCTCAGGTAGTGGTCTCTTTGTGCTACTCTATTATATTTTTTATGTCATAAATTCCTCAAAACTCTTGTCAAAATACACCCTTGACATAACTAGAGTATCTTGTGAAATTCATATTTTATTTGGTCCTCAATATTTACTCTTTAGACACATCCCATTTTGTTGGTACTTCACTTCAGCACTTCCCCGCTCGTTGCTTGCTTCATATCCTCTCTTTTTGGTAAGTCTAGAAACTGATATAAAAAGTCGTTTCTTGCCTTGCTAGGCATCTCATTCTCGTGTATATGCTAGTTGTTCAGTCACAATGTGATGAGATATGCTTGCTACTTGGATTGGATGTCTACATTTTTCAGATTCTTCTCTATTGTCATGGTTAACAACTCTGGAGTGCAGTGTAGTGGGTATTATATCTTACTAGAAAAGTGGTCCCGAGAAATGTTTTTTCTTTTGAGCTCAGTAAAGTACTGATGGTCATTTCGCCTGCTAATCATATTACAAGTTTTATAAGCATAAGAACTTATTTAAAAATCTTTAATGTTAAATGCTTCTCTTAGTTGGTTTTTGTTTGCATAAATAGCTAGCGAGGCTTTTCTTTTTCTTAAACTATTCATGTTTTAGTGTAATAATAGTTTGCAGATCTTTTGATGTAGTGACATCTGGTTAAAACTCTATACAGCATACATGTTGCGAATTTGGATCTCTTTGAAATTGTCCAACTTGAGTTAAAGTACATTTCCCCCTTTCTAACTTAATGTAACATATTTGTTACAGATTGGGGTTTTTCTTGATAGGAGGGTTTTGTTCTACATTCTTCCAATTTTCTCATTTGTTTTACTTTACTCCAATCTTCCACATAAGGTACTGCTTATGAAACTTGAAATTCAATTTACTTAAGGTCAACTTTTTCCACAAATTCTATCATAGTTGTCAGTGCTGCAGTAGATCCGCTTTATTATTAGTTTTGTTCCATTGTTTATCAGCGGCAATTGCAGCTAGCAGAATGTACATCTCTTTTCTTTTGTTTAATTAATACCTCAATTAATTTATAGGAATACAGAGTTATTTTTATCTTCTTGTAGTTGTTTTAAATGATATATTGAAGAGTAGTTTTATATTTGACCAATAGAGGACGATTGAAAGAACAACTGCAAAATGTGCCAGATTCCTCTCTGCTTTCTAAAAGCATGTTAGACTTTCAATTTACTATTTGGGCGCATAGCACTAAGTGTTGCTTTCTTAAAACTGGGCTGTTTTCTGTGGTTATAATTACTTATTTTTTATACTTAGATATGATAATGGGCTTTTAATAAAGCAAATAGACATATTTCACTGGTAACTATGTTACCTTCCTAGGTGGTGTTGTATGATGCTCTTAATTATGCAATGTGTGAGGCTTATCAGTAGGATGCTACAATAATATGGTAACCCGTTTTAATAAATTTTTCAAGCTAAAGATACTACTATTGCCCCAACATTTTGCAAGCTTGCTAGTCATCCTCGTCTTAAGCTATGTAGTTAGTGTCTTCAACCCTAAGCAACTGTTTCAGGTCAATGTTGTCCTGGATCAATTAGTAAATTACCCATGGCTCCTATATTTGCTCAGTGGAAACATTTTCCGGATAATATGATGATTTGGTAGGATGATAAGAAGCATGAATACATGTATACACCATGCGGCTGTGATACAATATGTACGCATTAACAGGGGAATTTTAAATAAAAAAAACATGAACATGGTAAAAAATAAATAGATATCAAAATAATAATAAGGAAAATGATATACAAGTTCACTTTTTACATGCACTTTCTAGACTCAGTAATGTGTCAAGAAGATGATTGGTTGATAATTAGAGAATATTTAATTATCAACTAATCGTCTTCTTGACACATCACTCCTCATATTTATTTTAAAAAGCTCTATTTTAAAACAAATTGGAAGTTTTAAGCTTTTGGATTCTCAAATTTAAAAAGCTAAAGGAAAAGGGATTAATTAATGTTTAAATTTACATTATTTTTATATTTATTTTAAAAAGCTCTATTCCAAAACAAATTGGAAGTTTTAGGCGTTTGAATTCCTAAAATTAAAAAAGCCCCTTGCTAGTGGGTGGCACACCACCAAAATGATCTTCCGGTATGACTAGATAAATTACATGTGTCACGTCTAAGGGAGATGTGTGCCGCCAATGTTTGAAGTGTGTTTGGTTTTAAAAGATTTGAAAAATGATAGGATGTGTGTCCAGCATTGGTGGGTGGTTGTTTCTCATAACCGCCATCGTCAAGGTCTTAGAACTTGGTAGAGGAGAAAGAGAGAAAATTAGTTTTGCATTAATCTCTTAATCAATTACAAGACCGAATGTTTCTTAAGTAGAGAGATGCACTAAACACATTAGGAAAGAACAAAATAGGAAACTCTTAAAAGGAGATTCTAATGCTCTAATGCTAAATATACAATACGTTCAGAGTGTTGGGGCATGTCCAAAGAGTGTTGGTGTCTAACACGTACCACCATACGCACAAGGCACCTTTTTAAAAGCATTTGGGCTTCCTAGTTGGTATGTTTATGCTAATTCTTTGGTTGTGGTATTGCCCCTAAGTTCGTTATTGAGTATTGCCCCTAAACTTGTATTGTTTAACATGATTGCATGTGAGGGCATTATGATTTTTGGATATGAAACTTTGACCCAAAGTTTGCTTTATGGTGGTGGTTGTTTTCTATTCCCTCTCACGTGTGTGTGGCCCCCTTCTTTTTGGATGCATGTTCTGGTTTGATTCTTTCTTGTTATACGAGTTTGATGAATTTAATGGGATGGGTTGCTCTTTTCAACCCATTTGGTGAATAGAATTACTAATGAACAATTTGGATGTTGAGTTTCAACTCCCTGAATGTTTGTTTAACAGGTTGATTTTGGCGAATGTTTCTGAGTTTACAACAATCCAAATATCACTGTGCACTTCAATACAGAGACTCTGGATATTGTTAGCAATACGAAAGGGCAAATGTCTGGCATTTTGGTTAGAAAAGTTGACACTGGGGACGAGTCTATGCTTGAGGCAAAAGGCTTATTCTATGGGATAGGTCATTCACCAAATAGCCAATTTTTGGAAGGCCAAATTCAACTTGACAGCTAAGGTTATGTATTGGTGGAGGAGGGTACTGCAAAAACTTCTATTGAAGGTGTATTTGTTGCCGGAGATGTACAGGTAATTATGTCAAATGTTACTTGATTATTTCCTGCTTCTGTTTGTTATTTTATGGAACTCTCCAGGTTCATTACATGCCCCAAAATGTGCTGCTTTGGCATTTCAAAATGGATTAATTACTCATTTGGGAAATGAAACTCCATCAGTAAGGTGTAGGACAGGTTAGGTTTGGCTGCTGCTGGACACTTTCACCAAATGCATATATATCAGGTGGAAGAGATGTATACAATTTTAGTGCAATCCTAGTGCACAAATATTTCCATGATACTGTATTTCCTTTCTTAGATGAACAGTTATGGAATGAGTGAAGTATACATGGAGGACTCAATATGTTAAAGAGACTTAGAGAAAATAACTTTGATAACTATTCGTGCTTTGAAGGATCAATTTATGCCGAGTCATATTGCTGAATCTGCACTAACATTAACGGGGTCTGTTTTAGATTTATCTAAGACACGCTAAGAAATTCAGGAGTGGTTAAGGATAAATATAGAAGATTTAAGGGGTTTATGGGATAAAATTTTCTGTTTTGTATATTTTTGGGCTTCATTCGACCCCCTCTTTCAAGGAGACTTCTTTATTTTTTATTGTTAGATATTGGAAAGCTGTGTGTGATATGTAATCTTTTGGTTTTTTTTCTTGCTTTTAGCTTGTGCTTGGTGGACTTCTTGGCCACTTGTTCTCTGTTGAACTTCCTTTAATACATTCTCTTTGTTATTGATTAAAAGGTAATTATTTCTAATTTAGTATTAAAAGAAGTATTACAGAGAACAAATGGGCAAGATAGATTTATTTATGTTTTATTAAATTTTAGTAGTTAAGGGTAATTTGGTTAATTTTAAATTATGAACTGTTAGGGAATGGGCCCAACATGTATATGATGATCTTACAGATTTGTATTAGTCATTGAACTTGTAATTTTTTGAGACTTGTATTTCAGTTTCTCGGTCTTCATATAGGATCATGAATGGAGGAAAGCCATAACTGCAGCAAGTTTAGGATGCATTGCTGCTTTATCAGTTGAGAGATATCTTGCGAGCAATAAACTTCTTGTTGAATTTCACCAGGTATTTTTAATCCTGATTGCATTCCATTTCATCTGTTCAACTTCCCTCTTCAATCTATATCTGTGATTAATTATTAATTTTGTGGTGGATTCTTGTGAGGTTAAAAGAGAATTAGGGCAGCATGTGGTGCGTTGTGTGAAAACTTAGACAAGACCAATGTGCATAATAATGGATCCAGCAGTTGTAACGCCCTCAAAATAATAACATTAAACCCATCAATATAAACATACATTTATATACAAAAGATCCACTTTCTTCAATTCATCAGAGTACTTCATTACAAAAGTATTACATGTTAACAACAAAAGCAAATGCCCTACGAGCTTACAGCTTTCCAAGTTAACACTTGGTTACAAAAGAGAGTACTAACTCAATTACACATTAAGCCCTTGGCTTGAATTTACATGTAATACATCAAAAGGAAATAAGACAACAAAAGTCTGTCCGCCTCTAGCCTCCCAAGCTATGTCCTTGGAGGTGGCATGCTACCTGTACCTGAAAATGATGTTCCCATATAGGGTGAGCCACAGCCCAACAGAGATGTACTAAACCAACTATGAACAATGACTAAAAGATTAGCAATTGATAGATGGCCAACACTGATACATCCACATATATCACATCACAATTTCATAACATACAAGTCTATGTCACTTTTCATTCTCCATCTTTATTTAATAGGTAAGTATATTAGCTATATCAACACATCAACAGGTAAGCATATAAGCTGTATCCACACTTCACTAGACAAGCATATGAGCTATCTCTACACTTCTCAAAGATAAGCCTATTAGCTGTATCTTCACTTCTCTAGACAAGCATAAGAGCTGTATCTACGGAGTTCATCCCCCATCTCCTCCCAACACTATCCGGTTTAGAGGTTCATCCCCCATCTTCCCCTAAACCGCGGAGTACATCCCACATCTCCTCCTCTACACACAATGCATATAAACACAAAGGTTCTATACACAATCAATCAATACATAAAATTAATGTATTCTATCCACCGTCATACTCTATGACGCATTCAATCGATTAGTTTTAGTTTGCCTAATCATCATGCATTGTCTACAACAATCAAGACTATCCTCCACCGATAGCCCAAGGCAGTTATTTCTAAACAGAAAATAAATGCACAAAATGGATATTAAATCAACATTTCAATTAGGTGAGCGATAAATGATCCAACTACACCCTCTAATCCCTTCCCTTTCCAATTTCCAACAATTAATTGTACAAATTAATCAATCAATGTAATTAGGGCATTTTCCATAATTAACATTTCAACCCTCCACGGTTTCATTTTCATCAATGTTTCAACATTTACTTCATTCCCTCATGCCAAACATGCATTTAGGTTTTATATAATTTAAAACCCCAACTTTTGTAAAATTACACAAAGGCCCAAACTCTCTCAAAATTACCCAACAGCCCCCAACATATCGAAATGCTAAAATTTAAAGACAAAGCTCATAAAGAGGAGTAGGATATCCCTACCTCGAAGTTAGAGCTCGGATGGAGAAGAGACCAAAACCAAAGTGCTCCAAAAACGAAGATTTTCGAATCAAAACGACGCCCTCGACGATCAACACAACTTTTACAAAGGCTGAAGAGAAGGAAGACACTCTAACTAGATCAAACCCTAGAGATAAGGGAGTTTCTAGAGAGAGGGGCTCTCAAAAATGGGTTTTAGAAAAAGTAGGAGAGAGAAAGAAAGGTAAAAAGTGATTTAAAATCACCCAGCGGATAACTCATATACGCATGACCCGCTCGAGCGTAGAATAGAGCGCTCGAGCGTAAAGCACAAACATCTGGTCCCGCTCGAGCGCATAGATAACCGCTCGAGCGCCAAGAAACAAAAGCAAAACACATCCGCTCGAGCGTGAAAACCAGTCCGCTCGAGCGCAGATTTTCATCTCCCAGAACTTTACAGGAAAAGGACTACTCGCTCGAGCGCCAACAATACCGCTCGAGCGCGACCCACTCGAGCGTAGAAAACACACCTGCAGAAGTTTTGCAGGGCCACGAAATACTAGAAGTGTGTAAACCCCGCTCGAGCGCAATAAGACCCGCTCGAGCAGACCGCTTAAAAACTGAGCAACAAGGAATTGAAACCAAGGCCTAACCAACCTGTAACAACCCTGCCCAAAACATCCTAAAACTCAATCAAGCGGAATTAAAGGACGACAACAAGATAGATACAACTACCAACTTCACGGAACCGAGTCCGGAATACAATAGAACAGTAAAGGGACAACCGGGATCGCTATAGCAGTTGAGGCTGTTAGATGGTTCCAACTGCCCTGGTCCTTGAACTAGTCAAGTTTGGTGGTTGCATAACTCTGAAAACTATTGAAACCCTTTTTATTCTCTCTTTCTACCTACTTTATTTTTTTTGAAGTATTTGAAGACAGTTGGAACCTCTAGTTAGATTGATGACCCATTTAACATGTTCATGGTTTCGCTTGACCAGGTGGTGTTTTTCACCCCTTATACAAAGCTTTATTGAGGGGCTAAATCTCTCCTTTTTGTTTTATCACTTTACAAAAACACAGCTCCCAGAACCTTAATATCATACCCGTTATTATAGGTACAAGAATATGCAAGATTACATCAAGTAATGCAGACGATTCTCACTATAGGAAATGCATTGAACCAAGGCACTGCTTGAGGTATTATTCTGTGAGATTGAAGTATGTTATGATCTGTAATATTTTGTTTGGTGGAAAGCTTTTGGCATTGATGTCCTCCTTTGTATTTTAGGATCTGCCATAGGATTCAAATTGGATAGCCTACTTAAGTTGTCTGATGCTCGTGCAAGGAACAATAAAATGACATTGATGCATTAGTGACCTCAGGAGCTTAATTTATGCCCAGGAGTAGGCATCCAATGTTTTCTGTAAAAGAGAACAATTTAGAAATATGTTTGAAAGGAAAAATGCTGACTCTTCTTTTTGTAAAGGAATTGTTGGATCTTCATAGATGTACATAATTCTAGTTTCATGACAAAACTAGTGTATGTTTGTTGGCAGTGATGCTGAGATATAAAATAAAGGGGATTTGCCAATACTGAAATTTTAATCTTAGTGGAAAATTCAGTAGTAAATTTGGTTTGATTTTCTTTTGTTAAAATCTGCAAGTTCTTGCTTAGTTAAGTATACAGACACATTTATCTTGCAGGGAAGAAGTGCAGATTCATTGTCTCAGTATTTTGGGGATCCAGCTAGGTGCCCTTTTGAAAAAGGTTTGGTTTTATTTTCCACATTTATGTACTTAATTTTCTGTTGCTGTCAAGTAAGGAAGTTCACTACATTTCTTTTCTATTTGATCTGCCACATTGATTATGTTAGAGATGTATCTGCATGTAGGTTAGATTAGATGATGGAAGTGAAAATGCTTACATTTCAAGGTAGCCCTCAACATGATCCTGCTCACATTATAGTAACATATTGTAAATAACGAAAGGATTTTTAAAGTGACCATAGTGTATAGCAGAACAACCAATAGTAGACATAGAAGAGAGTTAGAAGAGAGGAAGTCTTACCAGCCTCAATAAATCTCCATGTTTTGTGTCCTCTGCTTCAATGGCTTTGTCCAGTATACCTCCAACTGTGTGACTGGTAATGCAGAAACAGCAGATTATATCATTTAGTATGTCTAAAACTGTACTCTATGATTGTTAATCTACAAGGACAATACAGTAAGATTAATTTCCAAATGTGTGATGTATATTCATGGAATTTGAAGAGACCGTGTTCAGTGAATAAAGTAAGATTACAGTATCATGATTGTCAAGTTATATTTGCAATTTCAAACTAAACTGGGAAAAAAATTACAGATAAAAACCTTTTATCTTCATCAAATGGCTCGCTAAGGTGCATTAAGGACTGTTTTATACATACAATTTACAACTAAGGAACACAGACTGAGTAGGGAACATGAATGTAAGTTACAGAAGTATGCTAAAGAACCAACAAACCTTTCAGCTGTAATAAAATTGGATATGATCTATTAATTACAAATCTTTAAATGCAGGTTTTGGAGTTGGGGATGAATTTTCGTACTGCAGATGATATGAGTGCAATACTTGCCAGAAGAGAATGGGTTGCGGAATGTAGGTGAAGTTGCATCTGTCAGGCATGCATCTTGAAGGAAAGGTAACAACTAGTATATTCTTATTTTTAGACTAGACTGTGTATGCATGCTATATTTTGTCATTTGTATTATATGTTCATAGCCTATAATGAATTTGAATATTATATGAACGTTGAAAACTGTAAAGGTTGAATATTATTGGATTGCTATTTGTGATTTTATTGGGTATAGAAAAGTCTTAATGGTCAAAGAGCCAAAATTCTCTATTTCTAAGTTTTTTTTCTAGTAGAATTAGGAGAAATCTAGTAGGTTGTAGATACGTATGTAATCTTTCTATCCTATAAATTAAAGCTGACATTGTGAAATTGTATTTGTATAGTTTTGCTTAACACTTGCAAAAGAGTAGTTGTACATATATTCAAATGCTTTCAAATGCAATGCACTCATCTTAACTTCTAAGTGAAAGACAATGGACTATTTAAGTAGTTGTTGAATGCCCAAATTCTCTATTTCTCTTCAAGATGACATCAATTGTTGCCCGAACATGAGTTCTTACCTTGCATCATGAATGACAGATTTATCATATTCCATCACCGAGACTTGTTTTAAGGAAGGAAAATTTTGGCCAGATAGCCGAAGGTATGTTTCATATATTTTTTTTCCTTGGTTCATGAAAAAAAGAAAAAGAAAGTGTCCTGTCTACCTATTTGTTCCAGTACATGCTTCAAGTTTGCTAATTCTATCTAGTTGCACTGACAGTTAGGCTTGTTATGGATGAAAAGATGAAGAGGTCAAAGGGGTATGCTTTTATTCAGTACACTAATCAAGACGATGCCCTGCTAGCTCTAGAAAGCATGGATCATAAGGTAATAGGCGAATATTTGGTTGACATATTTCCACAAAATGCTAACTTTATCATCATATAATAAAATACTAATTTATGGTCTTGCTTCTATAGACTAACACATTGTTTTCAAATAAATTTGCTTATTGATGGTTAGGGATGGCTTTAAAATGGGAATATTGCTGCAATAAAGGTTCTTTCACCTGAATCAAAACAGGGAGTGAAGGAGTTCTTGACAGAGATTAGAGTGATTTCAGATATAGAGCACAAAATTTAGTCAAGCTCTATGGCTGTTGCGTGGATGAAGATCATAGAATTCTGTCTGCAACTACCTTGAGAATAGCAGCCTTGCGGAAACACTTATTGGTAATTCAATCTATCCGTTCTTAGTTTGGTACTCTTTACACTTGTTGGATTGGCATAAAAACACAAATTTGGCACCTCAATTTACGAACTTTAGCTTTAAAGCATCATCATCATTATCTTGACCTTGGCTTTCAGGTGGAAGTTACAGTAGCATCCAGTTTAGTTGGCGAACACGAACTAAAATTTGCGCTGGGATTGCATGGGGACTTGCCATTCTTCATGAGGAAATGCGACCACATATCGTTCATCGAGATATCAAAGCTAGCAATATTCTCCTCGACAAAGACTTGACACCCAAAATTTCAGATTTTGGTCTACCAAAACTTATCCCAGCCAACATGACTCATGTCAGTACTCGTGTGGCAGAAACGATGTAAGTTCTAACAATAATGCATCCATTTTTTTAATTCATCTAATCATAAGAGTTCATCTTCATTACGTTCTTAGAGAAATTACCAAAAACATACATTGCATTTGTACTCGAGATAGTGACTTGCACAAGATGGGTTATTGGTTTGATGTCAAATAACCCCCAGTCATGCACATGATGTCTACATAGAAATGGCAACTTAATCAGTCATCTTTAATCATGCTACTTTTTTGTTGTTGAATTATCTAGATAGTAGATAGTTATTTTCTGTTGATTTTGTTGATAAAGGAGATTCATTGGTGGAATCTTTTGGGTAGAATTATGGATGGCAATTAAATCCGAACCCAATGGAAACCCACCCTGTCCCGCTATTATTAGAGAGGATTTCCCCAAATTCCCCCCAATGATTAACTGTTGTTCTTCTCTCATTTTTCAGAGCACTGGTGGCTGATGGTTGTTGCTTGTTGGTCTGCTGTCGGTGTGCTACTGCAGAATTTTGCTGAGCTGCTGCTGCAATGTTGCTGTGAAGCAGTGGTCTGCTGCAAATTTGGGTTGTTAGTTTCATGTTTTCATTTTTTTATCTACTGCTTTTACTATGGGTTCACAAATTGGATGTATTTGAGTATTTTAGTGAGTTTACCCTTTCAGGTTTTATACACCGCTTCCAAAAGCATATTTTTCAGCAGTGTTTTTTTGCCTACACATCAACTTTAGGTGATTTAATATCAATGTTATTAGTTTGTAATAGTAATACCTGAGGGATGCCTCTTGTAAATATGTAAATCTTATAAAAAAATATAAATGATTTTCAATTTTTTTTGTCATTATAAATTTGTCGTTGCCAAAAATTAAAGCTTTCTCGACAAACAACTTATCGGTAAATGTGTAGCCAAAAGTTTATTTTTGCCCACTCATATTGTGTTGCTAAAAGTGTATTTTTTGTCAATGCTAATTGGTTGTTGCCAAAAGTAAAGTTTTATTGACAACCAAATCGTTGGTAAATGGCAACATTTACCGACGTAAATGTGTTGCTAAAAGTTTACTTTTGTCCACTCATATTGTGTTGGTAGAAATGTATTTTTTGCCAATGCCAATTTGTCGTTGCCAAAAGTAAAGCTTTAGCGACAAACAAATCGTCGGCAAATGGCAACATTTACCGACATAAATGTGTCGCTAAAGGTTTACTTTTGCGGACGCATATGTTGTTACTAAAAGTATATTTTTTGCCCATGCAAATTTGTGTCGCAAAAAGTGCCACACAATCATCATATTTGAATGACTTTTACCGACGCAAGGTAAATTGTCGACGATGGATGAAGGCTTTTATCGACGACTATGTTCGTCGCTAAAGGCATTACTTTTACCAACGCAATGATAATTTCGTCGGTAAAAACTTTTGCCGACTCACTTTTGCCTACGAGTTGCCAACGTAGCTTTCTGTGTCGGCAAAACTCTTTGCCAACGAATTTTCCCTTTTAGCAACATATTTTGTTGCGTTGCGAAAAATGCAATTTTTTTGTAGTGGGTCCTAGGGTTTTTAGGCTTAAAACACTATTGTTTTGGTCCAGAAACAAGGCACAACGTTTGCAGGGTTTTAAGGTCTTAAAACTATGGCATCCTACTGAGGACTTCGAGCACTTAACATGCATATACATTCATCATTGGGAGTGCAAGCGACGGTGCCCAAGTCGTAAGGGCAGTCAAAAATGGGGTGTCTACAGTTGCCCCTCTTTAACAGAACTCGAAGTCATGAAATGACGTGAGTGAATGTCAAAGCTCAAAGACGACCCATTTTGACAAGGCCGTAAGACTTGGGCAAAACAATCAAGACACAAATTAACAAATGGTTACGCTCGCAAGCTGCATACGCATCCCTTTGCAAGGAATCAAACCAGCGTAGTTTTGGGGCAAAATGCAAATGATATGCACAAAAAACTTTGAAAGCTGGAATCAGACGTTTCGCGACGTCGGCTAGTTTTGAAAATTCATGATCACGCAAAATGATGCAATAAGCAATGATAGATGCGATAAGAAACAAAAAGATAACGACATAATCAATATATGAATGAGCAGCTTCAAGCTTAAACCCAAAACAAGTTCCATAACAAGTTTCATGAGAACCATGCCAAACATGAGACGAGAAAAGAAAACGCCGCTCAAAGCCACATTTCACGCGTCTTGAGAAACTGAGAAACGAAAATCGCTCGGGGCCGCGTTTCACGCATCCTGAGATAAAACCTGCTCAGGGTCGCGTTTCATACGTCTTGAGATACTCAAATCACGCTAAAATCGTGAGAAGAGGAGAAAAACTACTCGGGGTCACGTTTCACGTGTCCCAAGATAAAACCTGCCTAGGTTCACGCTTCACGCATCCTGAGATACTCTAATCACGCTGAAATTGTAAGAAGAGGAGAAAAACCGCTTGAGGTCACGTTTCATATGTCCCAAGATAAAATCCGCCCAAGGTCGCGCTTCACGCATCCTGAGATACTCTAATCACGCTAAAATCATGAGAAGAGGAGAAAAACTGCTCGGGGTCGCGTTTCACACATTTTGAGATAAAATTTGCCCGGGGTCGCGCTTCACGCTTCCTGAGATAAAAATAATAGATATAAAAAAGAATGAGTGTGTGCGATAGATGCACAAAATGAGTGTGTACGATAGCTGCACGGAGTGAACAAGTGCGATAGATTCATAAAGTGAACGTGTGCGATAGATGCACAAAGTGAAAAAGTGCAATAGATGCACAAAGTGAACAAGTGCGATAGATGCACGAAGTGAACAAGTGAGATAGATACACAAAGTGAGTAAGTGCAATAGATGCACGAAGTGAACAAGATTACAAATCACTATAGTGATAGACAACCAATAGATGTGACTATTGAAAGCATGTGCTATGTAAGACAAGAAAGCATATAGGAGTGCATGTTCACAGTTTTGAGCTCTTTCGAGCATCAACCTTGACCCAAGACAAAACCACTCACACATTGCAGGGCAAAAAAGGCACAAAACAACACCAGACCACAGATGAAGACCACTAGCCACCAGTTAACCACCTGCTGGCCAGAAGTTGGGCTTGCCGGCCAAAAGTGTGGCCTACCGGCCACAAATAGTGGCCTGCAGGCCACTCGTGCTTTTTCGAGGGCAAATCAGCCATTTTGCCTCGGTTCTCCATTTTTCTTAATTTTACACCCATTTTTCACCCACTTTCATATGGCAGATGATATTTCACATGAGGGGGTTCCTTTCGAGGTTCCACCTCCACTCTCACCTCCTGTTGAGCTCAAGGAGTTGGTGGCCACTGAGGCCGGCAAGGCGGCGGAGGGCATTGCAGCTGAGCATAAGGCAAAGTTCGCTCTAGGATTCGAGCCTGAGCCACTACTATTAAGGATTCGACCCTTTGATCCGATGACATATCGTTCCTGGAGGCATCCGACACTTCAGTGATTTCGCCCATGGCATGGTAGAGGACCTTTTGCTGAGGGAGCTGGACTCCCATCTGCCCAACAGCGCGGTAGAGGTATGAACTCTATTTTTATGCTTTTTTGCCTTTCTTAAACTGCATTTCTTACACTGCCTTTCATCTGATTTCTCTTTTATCACTGTTTTTCATTTGATTCACTCTTCTCTACCACAAGGGGACTCCCGTGCCTACAAGGGGGGTATGGAGCGGCAACGGCTAACGACTGGTACTATGAGCTCCCACGGGGTCCATGATATTGTTGACGAGGCTGGATTCAGCCTTTTTTGCTCCGGACTTTCACACTTTATAGCGAGCCGGCCCTTTCTCGGAGAGTTGGTGAAGAGGCGGTGGGACACTATCAATTCTTTCCATCTCTTTTCTGCTGGAGAGATGACAATGCCTCCCTATGACTTCTCCATGCTAACAGGTTTAGGCGTAAGGGGTGATCCAATCCCCTTTGACATGGACATGGGCGAGTGGGAGGTAGTTTGGACCTTCTTACTTAGAGTGCGCCCACTCGTATCTAGACTAGCGATGGTGCGCTACAATTAGTTTTCCGAGCATTTCAATAGGAGCGAGCCCGAGACACTAGAGGAGATAGAACAGTACACCCGAGGCTTCCTGATGTTCTTCTTCGGTACTACCTTATTTGCGAACAGGTGGAACACCATAGGATTGTATTCACAGAGCGCCTTAGTGACCTTATCCCGGGTCCGGTTCTATGACTAGGGCGAAGCTGGCCTCACCAAACTTTACGGCTATATGAGTTCCACTTCCCGCATGAGGGGAGAGTCGATTGGAGGCTACTGGCGAGCTTGGGAAGTATGCACTCCACTTTCAATTCTGTTTACTTCCTGTTTTACATTTCCTACTTTATATCTGTTTGCACACTATGCTTTCTACTTTGCACTTTCTACATCTGTTCATATGTCTGTGCTTTCTTCTTTGCATTTTCTATATCTGTTCATGCATATGTGCTTTCTGCTTTGCACTTTTTACATCTATTCATGCAATTGTACTTTTTGCTTTGCACTTTCTATATCTATTGACATTGTTGATAACACTGCTGCACTTTTTTTGTGGTTATGGGTTTATGCATATTTTTCGGCCCTTGCTCCAGAGCCATAAGATGAGGTTTCCCCTATCGTGCCTTACTCACGTCGATACGACGGTCGATGCCGGCGCAAGAGTTGTGATGACACGACCTTTACCTTATTCCACCGATACTTCGATATGGTGGCTGCTAGCGACGTAACCTGAAACTCATAGTCATTCTTGCTCCACTATTGTTCTGACTCATATTTCGATATTTAATAGCAACTAACAATCTGTACATTTCCCATTTACAGATCATATAGCAGCCTTGGGAGATGATGCCAGGCGGGGTGAGGGATCAATATGCTAGGGCCTGGACCACATCTCGATTTCAGATTCTGCTGGGGGGTTCAATATGTCGGGCCTGGTTTCTGAGTGAGCGGTTTGTATGCCAGACCGTAGGCTCGCCTGATCCGGTCATTCCTATACTGCCCTCAGCATCTATGAAGACAGCAGATAGCCTTCTGGTTGAGGCAATTATCCAGTTCATGGTAAGCCTAGATGCTGATTTCTTCAGAGTGGAGGGCCACTACACGACATTCATCCAAACTCATCTTATGCCCCCTCCGATGGGCGCTCGCACGGGCGAGGCAACAAGAGCTCCTATGGCGAGTGAGGCGACTCAGACGACCAGTGCTGATACTAGAGGGGCCTCTCTTGTTAGATAGATTACCGGTTGGCTGGAGATTCCCACCATGCTTACTGGTGGCCGACTGAGACCGCTTGCCAGATTCTGATCAAGCCGATAGAAATAGGACACAGATATGTCAGAGCTCGAGGCGCACCTCAGTTATGGACAACACTGTACAATTTGCACCCCACACTTTCCATTTCAGATATGTTTATTCTAGATATTGATCACCCAAATGCACTTGCAGGCACCCACGAAGTATACAGAGAGCCTACTTGAGTTGGTTGCTTCTCTGATTGGCATGGTGCAGAGGCAAGAGACGCTGCTTGGTCTCCACGGTATTCGGGTAGTTTCCTCTATTTCCGACATGCATTGCACTACAAACTTTACTGTGCACCATACTATCGACACTTCCACTGATACATTGGCACTTCTATTAATGCACTGGCACACTGCATTGGCACACTATACTCATATTGTATCTGATTTTTGCATGACGCTCATTTTGCATTCATTACATCCTGCAATAATACTCACAACTGTATCGGATATGTTAACACCTGTTGTTTCAGATTCCATTTGTACCGAGGGCACCAGTGGTAGCAACGGCACCAGTACCGGTAGC